ATGTAGGTTCCCTGAGTCCCTGTTCCAGAACTGGACTGGGCGTGTTCAGGACAAACAACACAAAGCACAAGGTTTATGAGAAAACAGCTGCTGCGGGCTTGAAAGGAGCAGTCAGTCCAAGTACAAAGAACGCGTCAATCTGAGACAAGCTGAGATGCTGGAAAGGCCTCTTTTGAGGATAAAGGACCAAGTGCTAGATTACAGCCCACTTTCAACCAACTGTAGCAAAGCACAAAACCCAGTCTAAGATGTTTCAGGGGCCCTTCCCACCAGGAGGTGTGATAAATTACATCCTGTGTGGTTTGGGGCACAACATGATTCGCTGCCCTACCTAACCAGGACATCAGACTCCAAGATTCAAAGCTCACAACTCCTGGCTACTGGTAGCAACTCAGAGTTGTACCTGTGTGGAACCCTGCCAGAGTTTACCTGCCCGACCAACTCACAAGTAAAAGCTATTTGCCCAGCATGACATATTGCAAAGGGTAACTAAACTGCTTGTTTTTACAAAAACACTCTTTAAAGAAAAACACCAGAATCCTGGTGATAGGATTTTATGATTCAATTGTAATTACTAGGAGGATTAATTGTGATTGTCACACTGTAATTGTAGAAGATGTATAACTCAAAAGGGGAAGCAGTTAGTCTTTCATTTCAGGAACAGAAAATCTCAGGACCATCAAGAAGGAAGAACATGAGTGGAGCGTAAGATCCCTATCTAGGAAAGTGATGGTAGAGGTGATGGCATGGAGAAACAGCAGCTGTGGACTCTAGACCCATGGATGAAGACAGGCTGTGGGCACAGGAGACCGTTTGCAGAATGTGCCCTTTGGCTATTTAGATGAATATATGTTTTTTGTTTTGTATGTATACAAAGGTGCTCTGGTAGCATAGTGGTTGAGTCGAGCTGATAACCTCAAGATCAGTAGTTCAAAACTGCCAGCTGTTCTGTGGTAGAAAGATGAGGCTTTCCGTTCCTCTAAAAATTTACAGCCTCAGAAACCTTATACAGGGTTGCTATGAGTCGGAACCGATTCCACAGCATACAACCACCAACCACCATGTATACATCAAATATTTTGCTCTGTTAATTTGTAAAATATAAGATGTAAATGGTGAGCCACAGGGTGGAAGCAGGATAACTATTGTTGCAGGGAGGATACTGCAATGTCCCACATGAAC